TGTATGATTTTATTTAAGCAATCAATTTTTCAGAATTTTTTTTGCAATGTAGCATAACCGACATTATTAACAAGTACAGTTAAAAAGTTTTTAGACATCATGATTGACATGCACTCTTTTAAGAATTATTCCATTTCTGACATGTTCTTATACCTCATATGCTTTATGATTTCATTTGGGGTGAGCAAATGTATTGTTCACTATTATGTGTGATAGTGATACTATAAGGACATGCCATGTCTCCTGTATTTTAGTGATATTGATTATGTTACGAAGGATAAGCTAGTTTCCCTACTTAATTCCTGTGTGAAGACTATTCAACATTCTACAGTAGCCAATATGCTTATTGCTGACACATATACAATTGGGTATATGCATGTAATCCCCCCCACCCTCCGCCCGTCCCACTAAAAAAAACACACACATGCACGCGTGACTTGATTTGCGCTAAACCCCCCTCAATGCATTTACTAGCTATTAGCCCCTTCAGTCAAGGTTTTAAATATCGGTTATCGGGGATTTATCAGACGGACAAAATCCTTATCGGATAGCGAAAATCGGGGATATATCGGGGATAAGTAGTATTTATCGGAGTAATATACCGGATAATGTGTATATATAATATAACAATTAAAAAATATAATCTAATCATGCTTAATGAAATATAAACATATCAAAATGTAAATCATCATGTTTAGAATCATTAACCAATTGTAGAAAGCGAAACTTGCATCATAGCCTTGAAAAAAATATAATGTTAGTCAAAATGGGCCGATAATCCCGATAATCCCGATAAAAAAGTCTTACTTATCGGCCGATAAGTGCCGATAACGCCGATAAATCGCCGATAAACCTAGAAAAACGATAACCGATTAAAAATCCAATTTATCCTAGCGGAGAGCTCCCAAATCCGATAACTCGGCCGATAATATCGATTATCAGCCGATATTTAAAACAGTGCCTTCAGTTCATGAGAAAGAAGGGTGTTACTTGGGATTTATCTTTCTAGAAATGGCATTCCAAGAGTAGCTAAGTGCTACTGAATGAGTTGAGGGGGTTTATTGCAACTGAAGGTATATGTGAGAGGGTTTATGTGAAATTTACCCTATAAAATTTGGTGAACTGGAAGCTAATTTGATTAAAGCTATGCTAAATTGGATCTCGAATGCTCAAAGACATTATTTTTTTTCTTTCAAAGACTAAAAAGCACTATGCTCGAGTTGATATGGAAGAATTGTATTGAAGTAGCTTGTTGGTTGCGGGTCATCTTTGACAATCTTATTTTGTCTTAATTTGACCGGGCAAAAAAGCTGCTTAAACATAGTTCATAACCCCTTGTGATTAGAAACTATTCCCTTCTGCTGTCAATTGCATTTTCTTTTTTCCGGCTTGGAAGTATTTTGCTTGTATGCAGTGGTGGAGCCAAGAGTTTTGGTAAGGGAGTCCAAAAAAATTATTAATATATAATTCCTTTCAATATTGTTTAGTATATAAATCTCATTACATTACATAACAAGAGTACATAGTGTCCATTTTCCATTCAATCAACTTCTAAGTAAGTTTACCAATCCCTCAAATTTTTAGAAAAATCATGATGAGAGACCAATTTTCCATTGTAGTGATGTCATTATATAAATTTTAAAAAATTGACACCACGTGTTAGAATACCGTATTACATAATTGAGCTTTTATTAGACGCCTTCTTGCTGTCCAAAAAAATATCTAAGATGATCATTGGCGGAGACTGTATTCATGTTCAAAAGTGTAATAATATTTAGTACGTGTTCTAGCTTTACGCACTGTTATCCTCCATTATTGACCCAATAACATATGCTTTAATGTATGTACGCTAATAGTATTTTAACCAAAATGAGTTTGTAGTTATATAAATTGACTAATTAAACTAATTGTTGATGCGCGATATCAAACAGCCAATTAATCCAGAAGAGGATTGTTGCGGGATGATGAAGGATGATGGAGGGCCCGCTCCTTTCTTTGACTTTATGTCTGGTTCTTGGACAATGGTCTGAAGTCCGCGCTGCACAGACAGAGAGAACTCGTGAGAGGGCGGGGACTGGTTCCCCCGTGATTCCTCCGACGATCAAGTCAGTTGATAAACGTGAGCTTGAGTGGAGTCTAGAACTATGTATTCTTATGCTATGTGCATTAGTGATCATCCTCCATCAGATTGGGTTAGAAGGAAGATTTAAATGGCACTTTTTCTATTGCTTGCTTCTTGCTTACCACTTGCCCCTGGTGAATAGCATCCACCAATAGGGTGGAGGTTCCTGGTCAGTTGGTTATTTCGGCCATGCAGAATGGCGGTAGTCCAGTCTGAGCTGGAATGTGAGTCATTCCTCGTTTTACAGGTGTCAGCTGGCGACTGGAGGGGGAGTCATCTCAGCATGGGAAATGGCGTCCCCGCGATATCCGGGAAGTGACTTGTGAGCGTGTCAGAAGGCACGTGGGCATTTTGAGTCGTCCCCCGTTTTACAGGTGTCGGCTGGCGACTTGAGAGGAAGTCACTTCAGTTCTGGAGAGAACGTCTCCGCTCTTTCTATGAAAGTGATTGAGAGCTGACAAGTCGTGGAGACTTATCAGGCCAGAAATCTGGATAAGGCTTGTTCGAGGTGGACTGAGATGTCGACATTGGCTCGGGGGAGAGGCTTGAGACTGGAGTCAAGTCCTCAACTTAGTCGACAGAAGGAACATCCCTTAAGTCGTTTCTGAGAAATATCCAGCGAGTGGTTGAGTGCTCTAAATAGGGTCGTCCTTGATTATAGGATCGATCGACACCGTCTTTCGTGCCGACTCAGGAGTCGCATGCTTGTTTTGGCTGGTTAGAATGTTGTCTTGTCTGAGAGTTCAGGCTCTCTTGTACCAGCTAGTATCGCCTCCTATGTCGACACCAGGGTGCCGGCTTAATGAGTTGGTGGGGCCGAGGTCTCTGCAATTGTGCATTGGGCTTACCTTGATAAAGAGCCAATGACTTGATATTCGACTGAGAAGTCGTTGTGCCTAGAACTCTTGAGAGTTGACTAGGGCCCTCTTTCCCCTAAGGCCGATATATGACTGTGGGAGTCAGCCAAAGGGTTGAGCTTGCTTTGACTTAGGACTTTTATCGTATCATTTCGCAAATACTGCATCTTGGGTAAGTGAACACCATAACAGTTGGCCCATTTCACTTGGAGTTGGCTTTTAGTCGACTCTGAGATAAATAAAATATGCTCTTGATCAATACCAGTCTACTGAGGGCGAGAAGTTGAGAAGTCTCTGTCTTAGAGACGTGGCTTTTCATTATTAAGCATCCATTGTTAACTCCGCTATCTGTGGCTGACGTTATCAAAAGATCTGAACCGTCTTTTTAGGAGATGAAGCGTTATGGATAGAAGAGAGGATCTTCCACTTTCCGAGTATTGGGACGTGGAGCATTAAATGAGGGTGGCGTGGTGTTTTGTGTTTCGAGTGAACTGTTTCATATTCCGATGCGGATCTGGCCTAGTTGCTCCGAAAATCGCCCCTTCTTTTGAAATCCCTCTACACTTTTCCTTGAAAGCTTATAAGTAGCCTCTTGATGCTAAGATAGTCCTTTTACGAACCTTTGCTCTGGAAAAATTCCCGATATTCCTCCAAGCTTCTTAAGAAAAAAAATCTTCCATGGCTTCCCAAGTTTCTAATTCTGGCTGTAGTGAGGAGAGGCTTGCTGCTCTTTTCCTTATCTGCTCGAAGGTCCATATGGACGATTTGGTGGGGTTGTATGACCGACACAATATTCCTCAAACTCTCACATTGGCGGCGCCAGAGATGAACGAGCCAGTCAGTGTACTGTCATGGCGAGGGTTGAGTGTCGCTGTACTTAGCCCATTTGGAGCCTGACTTGCGGCTGCCCTTACACCCTTTTATTAAGGAGGTGTATGTCGCTCTAGGGGCTTCCCCTTCCCAGTTCTATCCGAACGCAGTGGGGGTTTTGGTGACTTTCATCGTCATTTGCTACAGTGTTGGAGTCCAACCAAGCTTGAGATTGCTTGGGCATTTGATCACCGTGGGATCTGCTGAGAAGGACCCGCATTATTCTTTCCACTATCGTGGATAGTTCCACTTTGTCTCCGATTCTTTGGAGTTGGATGAGGACTGGAGGAAGCGATTCGTGTGGGTTTATGGTGGCGACAACGTCTTCGCCTGCTCGGACTGCCGGAGGTGAATGAGGACGTTTTGAGGCCAGATACCCTTAACGATTCCGAGGTGACGGATCTAGGAAAGATCCGTTCTTATGCCGGGCCACGTGAGAGCGATGCTCTATTTGACGATGCGAAATGGCGGGCATGTCCATGATCTTGTCTTCCACTGGCTTCGCGGCAAGGGCGAGCCCCGTTCCTCTGTTAGCGGAAAATTGCAACAGGAATTCAGGGACCGAGGGGGCGAGCTCCACTGCTAGACCCCATAAGAAACCGATGGGGCTTTCAGTGCAGAGGAGGTGGCTGTCTTGATGCCTCAAGCAGCTAACATTGTCTCTGAATTGAGGGGAATGACAAGGGTTGAGAGGCGGCGCCCAGTTAGACCAGTTGGAATGGGTCCGCTGATAACTCAGCTTAACCGCTTGGAAAATATGGGGTTGATAGAAGAGTCTTCTCTTGGCAGGGAGACTACGACCCCAGTGGTCGATGAGGATGCTGTCGGCCCCAGCGCTAATCCTGAGGTGTCCCGTCGTCCTGGCAAGGAGCCAATTGGAATGGATGACGACGTCGAGGGAAGAGCTGGTACGCCGTCGGACCAGATTGAGAATGGTGCCGACGAGAGGATTTTGGGGGATATGCCAAATGTCGACATACACCAAGCTCTTCAAACTTGTTTAGCTCGGGGGACTTCGTTGGGACACGTCCTGTTCAATCGACTTGAGCGTTCCCTGGAATACTAAGGAGGGCTGGCGAAGGAGAAGTCG